CCCCCAGTGAGGGGCTGGGGGCGTGGCTCAGTGATAGAGCCCCTGCCTAGAATCCCCCAGTGAGGGGCTGGTACTCACTCCATGGCAGGTGAAGTTTTTCAATTCCCTCTAATGCCAGGTGTTTCTCAGGAGCTCTACTTCAGATTCTAAGACTACATTTAGCAGGGAGCTGAGAGAGACGAAGGCAAGGCTATGTTTGAGTTTTGCTCACAGATGTACTTCTGTTAAAGCCTTTGTTCCAAGGCAAATCTGGAGCTTGAATCCCACTCTTCTCAAAGCATTTTGCGGGAATACAGTCCATCATGAGCGGATGCCAGCAGCACAATGCTTTGCAGAAAGTGGGACCAGAGTAAAGATGTTCGGACACTCGAGTGCACAGCCCTCTGTCTCATTTCGGGGTTCACTTCACTGCTCCTGTCTCATTCCAGAGGTCCCTAAACTTTATTTGGGCTATGACAACCCCTATCTGTCCAATGACCTCTCTGTGTCTCCCTCTTGCAGCCAATGTGACCGTGTCCTTACCTGTCCGAGGCTGCGTCCAGGACGAGACCTGCACCCGGGATGGCGTCACTGGTCCAGGGTTCACACTCAGCGGCTCCTGCTGCCAGGGTCCCCGCTGTAACTCTGATCTTCGCAACAAGACCTATTTCTCCCCTCGAATCCCACCCCTAGTCTTGCTGCCTCCTCCAACCACCCCAGCCCCACCCACTCGGGCCCAGAACTCCTCCGGCACGACCTCTACAACAGCCTCAACCATGACCACCTCCACAGTCAAGCCCACCACAGACCAAGCCAGCCACACTTCTCCCCATGAAACAGAACGCGAAGTCATACCGGAAGATGGGTCGCGGTTGAGTGGAGGTGCTGTGGGCCACCAGGACCGCAGCAATATGGGGAAGTCTCCGGGAAAAGGTGAGGCCCAAATCCCAGCTAAAGGAGGCTCTGGCACGCTGGGGGCCTGGTTGTCAGCAGTTCTGTTGACTGTGGTTGCTGGCGCGATGCTGTGAACGCCTCATCTCGAATCCTCCATCTCACCTTGTTTCCCTGGCCCCGTGGTACCAACTCTTCCCATTTCTCACTTGACTGGACTGGCTCCGCCCCCATCCTCCAGCATCCCCAGGTCCAACTGCACTGGTTTGCAGCTTCGGGAAACAGTCTACTGTTGTAAATACTCCGCTGGCGTGGCCTTACTTTTTTTGATGTGGCCACAACATTCCCCCTGATGGTGACCTGGACAGAGGAAGAGAAATCTACTGCTGAGAGAGGCCTGGAGAGTCTACGGCAAGCCTCCTCTTCCCGTTTTCCTGACCAGGCTGGAAGACAGCCAGGCAGGTGGACAATGGATTCATCCTCTGAGCGCTGCGTTTGCCGGGCATCTGTGCAGGAATCTGGTCGCTTGTCTTCCTTAGAAGACTGAACAACTCCACGACAGGGTCTCGCCTCTGGCCTCTCTATGTGTTCTGTCTGCCACAGGAAAGTGTCAATAAAGATTTCGTTACTTTGTATAGTGAGTTAACTGACTTTCATCCACCTCTTACATCTTTCAAATTAACGTTTTTGTTTTGTTTTGTTTTCAAAACGGAGCCAAGGACAACCTATTCTTACATAGTGAGTTCTAAGACAGACAAGGTTACACAGCAAGACCTTGTCTCTTAAAAAATAAAACAAAAACTGTTGTGATGGATTGTTGGGTAACAGGTATCTTGCTACCAAGCCTGAGAACTTCAGTTCCTCCGTGAAACCCACGTGGTGGGGAAAATAATTGCTTGACCTCTGACCTCCCACTTGTGTACCATACAGACAAAATAAGTAAAGACATGTTACAAGGAAATGACACTGGGCACGAGGGAAGGTAAGATCACTGACTACCCGCACAGCCTCAGTCTTCGTATTTTTAGGACGGCCATCAGGTAGCGGTTACGAGTGTAGAAGCTGCACCTGATCTACCAGCCTGCGATCCCAGCACTCAGGAGGCTGAGGCAGGATAGCTGTGAGTTCCTGGCCTGAGCTACATACAAGTTCCAGACCGTTATGGGTTACATAATGAAATATTGTCCAAACCAGAGGCTCTCAACCTTCCTAATGCTGTGACACTTTAACACAATTCCTGCGTTGTGGTGACCCCTAACTGTAGACTATTTCATTGCTTCTTCATAACTGTATTTTTGCTCCTGTTATGAATTGTAGTGTAAATATCTGACCTGCAGCATATCTGGTTTGTGACCCCTGTGAGACAGTCATTTGACCCCGAAGGGGTCACATGGTACAGGTTGAGAATAGAAGCCTTCGATTTTAAATCATACCACCTGTATTCAAATCCTGCCCTGCCAGGCATCATCAGGGAAATGTAGAAAAGTCATTCTTTCCCTCTTTGCCTAAGTGTCATTTATTTATTTATTTATTTATTTATTTATATTTGGCTTTTTTTTTTTTATTGAAAGAGGGTCTCATTGTGTAGCCCTGGCTGGCCTGAAATTGCTTCATAGACCAGGGTAAGCTTGAACTCCAAGACAGAATTTTACCATGTATCTTCTACTAACCTTGAACTCAGTCTCCGAAGTGCTGAAATTACAGGTCTGGACCCCACTTTAGCGTCTTCATTTTAAAAAGAGGGGATCTAGAAAGTAAAGAAATAGAGGTTTGGCGAGATGGCCCAGAGAAAAAAGCTGGATGTGGTGATCCGTGATTATAATCCCGGCTGTAAGGGGTAGAGATAGAATTCTTAAGAGAGAGGCCGACAGACAGGCAGCCGAGAGTTCCCAGCTAATGACAGAACCCTATCTCAAAAAGCAGAGTGGGGGTGTCTGGAGGAATGCGCAAGGGTTAAGAGCACTTGCTGCTCTTGAGGAGGACCCAGCTGAGCTGCTCACAACCTTCAATAACATCAGCTCTGGTAGCGCCCTCTTCTGGCCACAACAGGTACTGCATGTACTCGGTGCACAGATACAGGCAGATGAAACACTAAATACACACAAAAATAAATAAATAAATAAATACATAAATAAATAAATATTAACAAATAAAGGTGGACAGTGCCTGAGGAGGGCATGTGAGAGAAAGCATGTGTGTGTGTGTGCACGCGCACACACACACACCTACACACAGAAGATTAGGGAATATTCAAGGATGGGGAGGGGTGTGTCCCAAAGGATAAAGGGAGGGGATCCTAGAGAGGATCCCTGTGACCAAATTTAGGACAAATGGAAGATCAAATTAAATAACCTTAGTAAAGAACTGTAACCCACCAAACAAACAAGAAACCGCATGGAAAGACATGGGTTTGTATTGAAAGAAATAAGACTCCGTATTGGAGAATACAAGTCAACACTGCTATAAATAAGTAAACAGGCTGGTGTCACAGTTTGTGTCAATCTAGGTAGATGGAGAAGGACTCTCAGCTGAGGGACGGCTTCATAGGATTGGCCTGTGAGCATGGCTGCGAGATATTTTCTTGATTGCTGGATCAGATGGGAGGGTCCAGTCCACTGTGGGCGGCAGCATCCCTAGGCAGATGGGATCCACCAGAAAGATAGCTGAGCAAGCCATGGAGAACAAGAGGCAGTAAGCAGCACTCCTCTGTGATCTCTGCTTCGGTTCCTGCCTCTAGATTCCTGTCTTGGCATCCCTTGACGATAGACTATAATGTGGAAGTATAAGCCAAAGAAACCCTTTCCTCCCTCAAGTTTCTCTCAGTCGATATCCCATCTGGGTTAGGCCACTGGGAGTGATGCTCACTAGTGAGGAGGAGTCAGGAGGATCAAACATCCAAGGCCAACTTGGGCTAAGTAAGACCCTGTCGCTAAATAAATAAAAATTCCTTCCTTATTTATTTTGGGTTCTTGTGTGTGTAGCCCTGGCTGTCCTTGAAACTTTCTCTGTAGACCAGGCTGGGCTCGAACTCAGAGATTAACCAGCCTCCGCCTCCTGAGTGCTGGGATTAAAGGTGTGAGCCACTACCATCGTAGAAAGTTATTTCTTGTGATCAGAAGTCAATTAATGAAAACAGAAGAAATGTCCAGGCAGGCATGGACACAGTGACTCGTAGTCTCAGCTCTTGGGAGTCTGAGTCGGCAATGTTGAAAAATCCAAGGCTGGTCCGGGTGACAAAGATGGGCTGGGATGTGGTTTAGTTGGCGTATGAGGACTTAAGTTTGGACCCAGGTAAAAGCTGGCTGTGGTGTGCTCTATAAGCGAGGAGGTAGAGACAGGAGATTTCCTGACCTTGCTGGCTAGTCTAGCCATGTTCAGTGAGAGACCCTTTCTCAAAAACAAAGTGGGAAGCAGAGGCAGGAGGATCCCTGAGTTCGAGGCCAGCCTGGTCTACGAAGCAAGTTCCAGGACAGACAGGGCTACACAGAAAAACAACATCAACAACAACAAAAAACCCCACAAGGAGTTCCGGGTGCAGGGTGGCCACTGGAGAACAGGCTGCTGTTCTCCCAAAGTTTGGAGGCAGAAGCAGCCTCAATGTTCCGGATGGAGGATCTCGAGCCAAAGTTGGACGCAGAGGAGGTGAAGCAGAAGATGCATGAGGATGTGGTCTCCTCCATTCGAACTTCCTCATCTACGTGGCCCTGCTATGAGTCACTCCGTATAAAGAAGCTGGATAGCATATGAGGATTGGGAGTCACGCGGATGCCAGACATGAAGAACCTGATGCCGGTTTCTCCTCCTGTCTGCAGATGAAGTGGCTCAGAAAGGTGTAGGACTGATTAATGGACATAAAAACAACTTGCTGAGAACAAGTTGGGCCTTGAGAACTGACCTCCAGAGCTGAGATATAAAACTATCTGGGAAGTGCAAAAAAATCTGTCTTGTGGTCATGGTACCCTTAGGCCCATGCTGTCCACCTCTGTGAGTGTTGATGCAGTGGGAAATAGTGACAGGCTCAGAGGGGCTTATGTCTGAAATGGTACCATCTCGGTAGTCACTTCTGTTTACGACTTCTGTTCGAAGTGTTATTTGTGAAGAGAATGAAAGTCAGCGTACACCCACAATGCCATTTAAGAACAGTCTATATTTTAATAAACATTCTGATCAAGAAAAAAAAAAAACAACTCCACAAAACCAAACAAAATGGGGGAGATTGAAGAAAGCAGCTCAAGTTGAGCCCTGGCTATCATAACTCATGTGCACGTTCACGTGCCCACACACATGCACCCACACCCCACACCAACATGGACACAAGCATGTGCATGCATTTACACTGACCACACACACACACACATACACACACACACACACACTGTGCTGGTGAGATTTTGTCATCCTGACACAAACCGGAGTCACTAGGGAAAAGGGAACATCAATCAAGGAATTACCTTCATCAGGTTGGCCTGTGGACCTTGTGGGACACGTAGGAGGACATAAGCCACCGTGAGCAGTGCCACCCCTGGGCAGGTAGTCCTGGTTGTGTAATAAGGAAGCTGGGCAAGTCACAGAAGCAAGCCAGTAAGTGGCGTTCCTCTGCTTTAGGTCTTGACTTGAGTTCCTGATTAGGCACCTTTCCATGATGTAAAGTGACACGGATGCTTTTCTTCCCAAGTCGCTTTTGGTTAGTGTTACCACAGTGATGGGAAGCAAACTAGAACACACACAAACATACATCATTTAAAAAAATCTGGCCAGGCAGTGGTGACGCACACTTTTAATCCCAGCACTCGAGAGGCAGAGACAGGTGGATCTCTGTGAGTTCGAGGCCAGCCTGGTCTACATAGAGAGTTCCAGGACAGCCAGGGCTACACAGAGAAACCCTGTCTCGAAAAACCAAACCAAACCAAACAAGAAAAAAACATGACGGAAACAATCCTGATTAGAACAATCACCGGTTTAGGTGAAAACCACTAACAGATGCCTGCACCGTAGGCTCAGGATGCGCCCAGAGGCTCCATTTAGATTGATGGTAGATGCTCAAACACGCTACAGATGGAAATAGTGATTTAAGAGGAAAAACATGACCAAAGCCACCTAAACCAAGGAACCGAGAGCATGCAGAGCCACGGGACAGACAGACAGACACCATGTGGGTTGCAATGGGTAAAACAGACATTCAGATCCTGACTGTAACAACACGGACACAGCAGACAAGCCCCAGCTGTTCAGGGGGGGTGGACGATCCATAGCCGAGCTGGTTGAAACATTTGCAGAAAAAAGCATTGGGGGAGGGGTGCCTGAATCATATGCTTCACACACACACACACACACACACACACACACACACGCACACACACAATATTACCATAAATAAAATTCAGATAAAAAACAAATCTCAGCAGAGGGGCTGGAAAGATGGCTCACTGGTTAGGAACACTGGCTGCTTCTTGCAGAGAGGACCCAGGTTCGATCCCAGCATCCGCACAGTGGCTCACAGCCTTCCATTACTCAGTTTCAGGGATTTGATGTCCTCTCTTGACCTCTGCATGTGCTAGGCAAATAAAACATTCATACAAGTAAGATAAACAAATAAATCTTGAAAAACCCTCAAGAATTGACACGAGTTCATCTA